TCAAAGAGGAGTGAGGGAACAGTTTGGTGCTCATATGGATTCAAGTCCAGAAAGATCCAAAAGCAACTACATTCTGACGGCCTCCTAAGGAGAACAAGACACTGGCTGCTTTTGTTGAGAGGAGAGTAGCCAACTTGCAGCTGAAGGTTTGGACGGATTGAAAGGAACGGAACAGCCTGGATGCCGTAGCTTTGTGCCGCAGCTATTTCACAACATCAACATGTTTGACTGCTTATAACTATCTACATATCCCCCGTGTGCGTGCATGCGACCCGCTTTTGTCCTGGATGAAGAAGGACCGACGATGGCTGAGGTCCACCAGCTTTGGCAAGACATTGGTCAGATAGGCAATCCAGCTCACGCATCCAAAGTGGTTCGGCTCGCTCTCTGCATCTCCTACATCATGATCTTCTTGACCGTTGCTCTTCTGCTGGTCCTCAGTTTCAAGTCGAAGGCCGGGAATTGACGGTTCTTTTTTTTCATGGTGGGGTGTGGTAGAGCCTGTATGCCGAACAAGTTCTGAGTTCCTTAGTGGTCAAGCAGGTTGGCCAGGACGGGTGTATGAGAAGAGCTTCAAGACAGAGACTGTTACAATGGATTTACTGTAATATTTGTACTCCTTGGTCCGTTGATAGTAAGCAACAGGAGAGAAAACCTGACAGCAACAGGCTGTGGAGATAGACCACAGCAACGAGTTTGGACCATCTCCGTTCAAGCCGGTCAGGAAAAGAAGCAACCCACCAAGTCTGACGAAGATGAGGCTTGGGGGGGGGTCTGCAACAGCTGAAGGACAGTGAGTCTCGTGCATCCATAGCATTAATCAGAAGTAGAGAGCTTCAATACACGAGAGAACGCAGCTTTTGATGCAGCCGACATAGGAATACATGCCACATTTCTTTGTTTCTGAGTCGAACGGGCAGTTCCGGGAGTCCACGCATGTCTGTGGCAGTTATTTGCTCCTGCCAGGTGGAACCAGTGAAAGATATTCATGCAAGATGGAAGGTGGTAGTCTTGGATGGCTTTCTTGCCCTTACTTGCGGCATCCCTGGTGTAGCGTTCTTCTCGCTCAGCTACTTGTTCGTGCAGTACTCGTTAAGGTCGGTGCATCGGATATTGGACCAACCGGGAATGCGCTGGTGGGAATGGTTGCAACAGCTGCTCATTGAGAGTTTATTGTGGGCAAACCTTGCCATGCGCTGTTGCCGCGATGTGCAAGTGTACCATGGACATTTGTTGGCAGTTGCAGGCGCAGTAGAGAAGAATGGAAATGCCAAGAGCGAGCTCTCAGGTGCTTTTGAGACCATGGCCTTTGACCTCTTTGGCTCAGCATGCTTTTTGACCTCCACTCTTCTTTGGCGCATCTTGCTCATCAACATGCTCGAAGTCAGAAAGGTTGTCTCGCCCCACCGAACCCGTGCATTGAATGACATGAAGGCACGAGCAAAGATGACCTGGGTGCATTTCTCAAAAATTTGCCCTGAAAGCTTTCAAAACTTGGACGCGCAACGCAAGTACGTCGCAAACATGGAGACGATCAGGTCTCCCTTGCCAGGGAATTGGAACCGGAGCTATTCTGATGTTGCCCTGGTTAGGGTGTCTTCCTTGGTCATGCTCTTCGGCATGCTAGGACTACACCTCGAGCAGCCCAAGCTAAGGCAAACAGACTGGTGTAGCATCACAGTGCTTCCGACCCTTTGGATCATTGGGGTGCCCACCTTCCAAGCGACCTTTTTCTGGCTACGAATTACTTCGGGTGTCTTGCGCCTCACAAGTGAGTTCAAAGATCACTCGAACAGGCTGCTCATACTTGCAGCGCTGACGAAGCCCCATCTACCCCAGGAGTGGAGCAAGGCCAACCTACTTGCCCTTCGCGGCATGGTGCAAGAGTGGGAAGAGAAGGGGAACGCGGTGGGCATCGCCGTCAATAAGAAAGAGCCTGTTGTGAAAGAAGACTTGGAGCTGGATCTTGCAGAGAGCATGGATGATTGGTGGTCCTTCCGTACCTCTTTGCAAACCGACTGCTTGGACAAGGCGGCCATAGTGGAATTCTGCAGCATCGTGATCGCCTTTCTGATCTTCAACTTCGCAGCGGTGGGACTGTTGAGCTGGATTGCCTATCACCAGATCCGAACCATTGGCTTCGGGATGATTCTGGCTTTGTCTCTCGCGCTCATTGTGATCATGCTACGGCTATTGGAAGCATGCGTCGCCACCAATCTGCTGTTGGAAGCTGATGCCGAACGTCTTCGCCTAGCTTCCCAAAAGTTGTTGGAGCCGAAGAATGACGAGGACAAAACCACAAAAGAGAAGGAGACGATGTCGCTTCACAACAAGGCAATGTTGCTCCACGCGATGGAGAGAAGCGCTTGTGCGCCCAACGACCGGCAACAGTTGTTTGGCATTCCCGTGACTGAAAATATGCGTAGTGGCTGGATCATCTCTCTGGCATTAGCCTTCGCCACATCTGCATGGAATGTCCTGAAAAGCTACCTTGGCCAGCTGGATGTGTATGAGGAGATCATTTTCCAAGTCCGCAAGTGGCAGCTGGCCAAGCTGCTGGGAGTCTAGGTCACAAGTTGTCTTCACACACCGACTTCAGGCCTGTAGAGGTTGAGTTCGGGCGCACTGCAAGCGGGAGCGGAGACACGAAATCAGATGTGTGACACCGCGGAAAAAAGAGCGCGACGAGACTTGGAGATTCCACTCACCTGGTCGATGGTCTGACCAAGGAAAGGCTCATAGGAATGGATCCGGACTCGGACGACGGTCGACCATTTGGCTCATAGGAATGGATCACGAATGGGACGACTGGAGCTGCCAGGACTGTTCGACCTCCTTTCGGTCGGGTTCGACACCGTCCTGGTCGACCGAGGACCTCCCACAACGCGCGGGAGACTTCCAGAAACGATGTCCCCCGTCGCTTGAAAAAGGGAAACCGTTCGAACGTCGCTGAGGTCGAGTCGGGGCCGCGGAACGAGGTTGCCCCGGTCACGGTCGGAGGCCTCGGGAGGGACAGTGGCGGGGATCTTCCGGATGATGGAGTGGAGCAGGTGAGGTTCTCCAGGACGTGAAACTGCCCCACCATTCGTTGAGCTAAGAGGAGGATTGTGCTGCCTCGCAGCCACTTCTGCGGAACTGCAGGGCACGGAGGACGGGTCAGGACGGTGGCGTCACAGATGGTCAGGAGGAATTCCATCGAGAGTGATGCCGATGCGAATCACTTGGTGCGCGCGCGCGCGCGCGCATTTTTTTTGGCACCTCGGGCACGGAATTTTTTCCTCGTGCGCACAATGAACATCAAGGATTTTACTTGGCTCACTACGGTGGGGCATGCCGCCGAAACGGATCGCCGGTCCGATCCCGAAGCCGCCTCAGGAGCCCCGTCCTTCTCCCCTTTCCACACCCGAGCTCATCCCCTTATTTGCTGGGGTGGGCCCTCGATCCTCTCCCTCAGACCATCATGGAAGCGGGCAGCAGGTCCCTCAGTTGTGGAAAAGGAGCTGCTCCACTGTCCCAGGGATTCATAGCCCACCCTTGGAAATTTGAAGAGCTTGAATCCCGAACCAAAGATTTTGGCACTACCATGCCAGGTCAACGCTCTGTTTTCTTTTTTTCCCCAAACACTTTCTTAAGATGTGTCCGCCCTTTCTGTCACTGCTGGTGTCCGCCCTTTTCCGCTGGCCATGCAGCATTTCTATTCATTTGTCTCCCATGTAATGTTTTCCCTTCTGTCTCCCACACTTCCCACCACTGCCCAGTGCGCCTGACATCGACTTCAGACCTTGGACCACATACATCTCACAGGCTATCGTGGTTATCCTCTACGACTTGCCCATCAACTCAGCCAAGCATGAGCGGAGTGGATCTCCTGCGCAGAGCAGTATACGCCTTCTGTCTCCCTTTGTGTCCGGTCTTGTCTCCCTTCTTGTTGGTCACTGTGTCCGCCTTGTCTCCCTTCTGTCTCCTTTTGTCTGGCCACTATCACCAACATGAAGAGAAACAACAAAGTAGACAAGAAGGGAGACAAGGCGGACACAAAGAAGGGAGACAAGACGGACACAGTGACCAACAAGAAGGGGGGCCTTGTCTCCCTTCGAAGGATTGCAAGGCAGAGGTGGATACAGCAGCTGAGAGAAATGTAACGGATAGCAAGCGAGAGGCGGACAGAGCAGTCCAGCGCTAATGTAAAGGATTGCAAGGCAGAGGCGGACACAGCAGCCCGGAGCTGGGAGACACTTGGAAAGGATTCTTGTTGGTCCGCCTTGTCGTCTCCCTTTGTCTTCGGTCTGCTGTGTTGCAGGCCTTTACATGTCTCCCAGCTCCGGGCTGCTGTGTCCGCCTCTCGCATGCCTTCGCATTTGTCTCGCAGCTCTGGATTGCTCTGCCCTGCAATCCTTTACATTTGTCTCCCAGCTCTGGGCTGCTGTGTCCGCCTCTGCCTTGCAATCCTAAAAATTTACATTTGTCTCCCAGCACTGACTGCTGTGTCCGCCTCTGCCTTGCAATCCTTTGTCTCCCAGCTCTGGACGTCAAAGCGCAACTTGTTTGGGGTCTACGGTGTAATTTTTTTCAGTGTCTTTCAACGACCCTTCGCAAGTCCCTCCGACCAGTCAAAGCGGTCTGTCCCGGACTGGCGGAGGTCCGTCGCGGTGTCATCACAGATGGCAGTGGGACTCCCGGTGGGCAGTGGGGGGCGGTTCGATCCTGGAAACAAACTGGATCAAAGTCAAGATCTGGTGCCTGACATCTTAAAGATGATCCGGATTGAAGAAGGCGTGCCCGGATGAGATGCGTTCAGATTCCATCATTTTCTGAAGACTTTGAAGGTTGAATGCATAGCTGGGGCTAGCTAAAAAGAACCACGTCAGATGTCAAGCAGCTTTGTCCAGTACCTTTTTCTCGGTACATGTGATAGCATTCACTTCTTTGGGAGCTCCGCCAGGCTCCAGGCACCTCTCTCCAACCCGCTTCCCATTCGTTGTTGGAGTTTTTGCAGCCTCTTCGACCTCCACAAACCCGCGCCGAAGCCGCTTCCGATCCGCAGCGGATCCCTCCGCAGCTGTTGGATCCTGCCGAGCGAGGGGTCGCCCGGTGCCGGGACCGCCGCGCCCGCGCGCGTGTGCGGATGTGGAGGATGTATGGAAGCCTCGTTGCTGCGGTGGTGATGATGGGTTGCTGCTCAGTTCAGGACATCGGTGACTTGTGCAGAAGTCTAAGTTGCCACAGGAAAAGTGAATTTGGATGGTACCAGTAGTCAGTCTTGGATTTGGACCCTTGGCGGACTGCAAGACTAATGACTAATAGTTTTCATTCACGGTGCGCGAGCGAGCGAGAGAGAGAGAGAGAGAGAGAGGGAGGGAGAGTCGAACAGTGTGGGAAAACGCCCTGCCCTTATATTGGTTTGTGGGAAAACATGTCGGTTTGTCGAAGGCCTTGCGAGGAAGACTGTGAGGGTTTTGAGGGGCGCCCAGTCCAGAAGTGTGGCGTCCAGGAGGCTCAGCTGGAGCAAGTGCTCTTGAAGCTCGGCATGGCGCTCGAGGAGGCCCAAAACGCAGCAACTCAGCCCTGCTTCTCCGCTGGCGTGCTCTGCAATGAAGATGGATACATCTCACATCTTGATCTCGGGCTGCTTGGTCACCGCCGAGCTTCCAACCTACTAGCGATGGCCTCCACCCTAATAAAGATGGCCTCCAACCTGCAATGGCCACCAACCTAGTAGGTGTGGCACCCAAGCGCTGTTTTTTCCATGTTCGCGCCACCGGGCCACCGGGCGCGCGTCATCGATCCATGTTGGGGGGATTCCGTCCGAGCGATGACCTCCGTGAATCGCAACATGAGGTTCTCCCACTTGGCGGGCGAAGTCCCCGCTGAGCTCGGCAACCTTTCACACTTGGAATACTTGGACCTGCGTTCCAACCAGCTCAGGGGCCCAATTCCGAAAGAGCTGGGCAGGCCGGGCGTTCGGCTGCGTTCTTTTCTCCATGTGCCAGAAAAGACCCGGTCAACTCACCTCACTCCTTGCGCAAGAGTGATTGAAGTTGTGAGGCTTCTGAATGTTTGCGAAGGACTTGTTTCTAGATGGGTCAACTACGGTTACTGTAAGAGTTTTGCGCGGTCCTTCGGACAGCGCTTAGCGTTTTGGTGCTCAAGGGAGCACAAACTTTTTTTCACCACCACCACCACCATCATCATCATCATCATCATCATCATGATCATCATGATCATCATGATCATCATTGTCATCATCACCACCATCATCTTTTCTTTCATACGCTCATCAGTCAATGATTGCGTGGACCCGATTAGTCCCACCTGGCGCCCCGTAGGGCCTGAAGCCTCAACAAATGAGAGTGCGGTCAAGGAGACGAGCGAGGGAGAAGCCCTTTCCTCCTTGTGTGAGTGACCGCAACACCAAATGCAAAAATGAAAACTTTCTCTAGCACGGACAGCGCTGATCCTCATAGAGGCCAATGCTGTGAAGCGGCTGGCAGGCACACCACCGGAGGGGTGTGCACAGGAAATGAAGCTCACTGCACATTTTCCGCCAAGGGGCCAGCTTCGTCCCACCGTGAATTGTGTGCCACCTGAAGGTGAAAAGCTATGTCCCGTGGCCCGCTGCCATTCATTATGCACTTCTTCACCAGCCTGGCTGAGGCTGGGATTGTCAACCAGGATGTTGGTGTCCAGTAGGTCCAATCTTTGCAGCCACTATCCAGCCAGGTAGCGTTGATGGCTGAGTCGTATAGATGTGGCGCATTTCCTCCTGATCGGACAGGATGGGAATCCTCCACATGAGGAGAGACCAGCATCTCCATGTGGTGTGCAGCTCATCCACAACAGGCTGCAGTTCTCTGGAACCACCAGTGGCAGTGCTGAGAACTTGACCGGCTCGTAGACGTCATCATAGACCCACCATGTGCCATCGTCCTTGATGGCTGTGCAATGGTATCCACTGGGTCCCTCCAAGCCCAAATGGTAGAAGACGCCGAGGACAAGAAGTGGAATGTGGTCAACCTCCAGCTTGTTGTCCAGGAAGTATGGTAACCAGACTGTGGAGCAGAAGGCAAGCCCGTCTCCGGTGTGCTTAAAGTGAAGCTCACAGCTCACTACTCCGCCAAGGGTCCTGCGGCTTCCCAACAGACTGAGTGAGGCTTCATGGCGAGCTGCCTCACTTGATGAGATTCCCACAAGTCTGTAGCATCCACCAGGATGTTAATGTCAAGAAGATCCAGCCCAGGCAGCAGCCTTTGTCATTCCAGTTGTCATGGAATTTGGGATCATGAATGGTGTTGTACACTGTCTCCTCCTGAGCCACCCATGGCAGCGATGAGAACTCCACGGTGTCCATGGCGTCGTCATAGACCCGCCAAGTGCCTCCATCTTGGATGGCAGTGCAATAGTGTCCATTGGCAGCATCAAAGCCCAGGTGGTAGGAGACGCCGTGGTCCTGAGAAAAAATGTAGTCAAACTCCAGCTCTTTATCCAAAAA